TGAGGGGCTACTACAGGAGTCACAAGCTATTTGGGTTCTTACACCGTGTTCCAACATATGTATTGAGTTTCGTGACTTTTCGAGCATGTTTAGCCTAGAAAAATGTGATCAATTGTAAAATCACAATGAAAATAAAACAATCGATAATTAAATTGTAAAAAAAAGTTTTTCTCAACTCAGAACTTTGTTAAAACATTTTGAAGGTAAGATAAGATGCGGTTGTTTGTGTCAGAGCTCTACACTTGTTTTAATCATCTGTTGACTCGTGTTCAGGCAGAGAGACGGCGGCGCTCTGTCCTGGAAACAAACCCTGTCGCCATGACACCAAGGAGGTTCGATTCCTGAAAACCAGCTGCCACGACTTCCTGAGCTCCGGGCTGAAGTACCAGCACCTCAGTCCTCCATCGCCAGAGATCGACTACATCCCCATCAGGGTGGAGCTGAGGGAGCAGAGCACACGGGCCCTGCTGGAGGTACGAGACCCGTCCAGGACCTGGAGGAAATACAGTGATTCAGAGACACTGGTATATTCCTGTGGCTCCAGTGTAGGAAACAGAGCGTCGGAGGAAAATAACTTTTGGAGAAGAGACGTAATAAAGAGCTTTAGTTGATAAAGTACGTTTCTGTCGAAGTTGGAAGTGGATGTGTTAGTTCACCTCAGACGTTTAGAAGTTTATTGGCAGTCGGAGGGTGACGTCCCACTTCATGTTCATTTCTCAGTTTTGTGCATGTGGTGTTTAAAATGTTAAAATGCTCTTGTTAGCTCAGGTGTCATCTCCAACACATCGGAGTGTTTCTGTCTCCATCACGATCAGCAGCAGAAGTCGAGGCAGCATGTGTTGATTTCTTTGAGATGTTAAATGTTCACGTGAGATGTAGAAAAGAAAGAAGAGGTGTTTATCTTTCGTCTTCACTTTGCTCCGCTCCCAGTCGGAGGCGGTGTGGTTGCCAGTTTTGATCCACGGTGCGATGCAGAACCAGCCGCCCCAGGCCGGCTTCATGGCCTCCTTCATCCTGGAGGTGGACCAGTTCATCCTCACCCCGCTCACCACCGCCGCCCTGGACGCCAAAGACCACGAGACGCCACAGGAGAGGTTGGTTTTCAACGTGACCGTCCCGCCCCTCGAGGGCTACGTCACCCACCTGGATGACCACACCAAGCCTGTCGGGTCTTTCACCTGGCTGGACCTCCACGAGATGAAGGTGGGCTACCAGCCGCCCAACAGCAGCCAATCACATCGCAGGAACTACGAGGTACTGGAGGGTGATGATGATCGAATGAAGTTCGATGAACATCTTCTGGTCAATGAACAGCAAAACATCTTTATATGTCAATATTCTCCATCTGTGATTAAAAATACATTCCAGACATTAACTGCCCCTGAACCTTCTGTTAGGTGGAGTTCCAGGTTATAGACGGCTCCTATATGACCAGCCCACCCATCATGGTGCACATCTCCATCAGGGCGGCTGAAACCAACGCACCCAGAGTCTCCTGGAACATGGGTGAGCACCAGATCCTGAGGTTGTTGAGTTGAAGTCGACAGATCAGATTGATTCGTTTTGTTGATCTCAGGTCTGGATCTGTTGGAGGGTCAGTCTCGACCAATCACCTGGGAGGAGCTGCAGATCGTCGACAACGACAACATCGATGGTGTCCACCTGGTGGCGGTGGATGGTCCCCTGCACGGCCGTCTCAGTGTCAGAGGTGAGAGGTCAGAGGTCATGGGGTCACCAGACTTTGTCCAGATACAAATCACAGCTTCTAATTAATCAACATGTTGAAATCCCCAAAACGTCTCGATGGAATTTCTTCATATGTTCAAACGTTCAGTTGGTTGATCGCATTAGAATTGTGGGGTCAGAGGTCAGAGGTCAGAGGGCGCTGTGGCTGTTTGCCCTGTGAACACATTGTCTGAAGAACGCCTCAAGAGCATCTTGTCAGATTTGGTGAAAATGTTCACTGAGACTCACAGATGAACTGAGGAGCTTCCAGAGGTCAAAGGTCACAGTGACCTCACATGAGTGTGGTTTAAAGAATGTGTGTGAAACAGGTGGACGGTGATTCTAGTTTCCCTCACACACACACACGTGCTGGTTGAAGAACTTGAAGAACACAATGAGAACGTTGGTTAACATGTCATTCACGTGTCATGGTCTCATCACCGTAAGAAGAACCAGGCTTCAAACCTCGGCCCTTTAATCCTGTGCTGGTATTCCGACACGCACACCGCCCTGGGAATTCCCAGAGAACGTCGTCTGGCCTTTTCCGCCCTTTTTCCTCCATGTGTCGCCCGTCCGTCAGGGACTGTGGTGTGGCTGGGGAAGCATATGTCTAGTGGCCCTGCATGTGTTTCCTAATCAGGTGTAAAATGGGGCCGTGGCCACTTGGTTGGCCAGGGGCCGTGGCGGCGCAGAGGCTGCTGCTGCCTCGCTCTCCGTCCACGTCTGTCCCTTCCAGCCCAGCGCATAGGGAGACGGCCTCTTTGTCTCGAACGGGGAGCGGGAGCGAGCAGATTGGAGAGACTTATGCTATTTCATGCCACCGTGCACAAGGAGCAGATGCACTGTCCCCAAACAGGTTTTCATGCTACCAGCTCTGGGGGGGTGCAGGGGCCCTGAGGGGTTCAGGCGGAGAGTTAACCTTTCATGGCTCCTTCAGACGTTTAGAAACAGGACACTGTGTTTTCTGCCGACTCGTTTCATCTAATCTGTGGCTCACTGAGCAGGTTGACTTCTTTTCAACAGCTGTTTGAGTTTTTTAACATTGAAAATATGAAAAATAAGAGAAAATGTGTCCTGATGCAAATTCAGATGAAATAAAACAAATTAAAAAAAGACAAACTTTCCTTCAACTCTCACTTGTGAGGTAACGAGACAAATAAAAGGCCTTTAACCAATTTGAACAATTTTAAATTTCTATCACAACAAAAAGAACAAGAGACAAGAAATTATAACTGGATAAAGAAAAGGAAAGAATTAAAGTAAGAGAAACAACAAGCTGATTTTTAACCTGATGGATTTTTAACAAGCTGTAAATGAGTCTGAATGAGTCTGTGTGTGTTCACAGTCATTTTTCTTCTGCATCTCAAACCTGAGACTCTTTCTGCTGCAGAAACAAATAACGACAAACACCGAACAACTGACGGCTGTTCTCTTCTTGGCTCGTTTCACTTTTTAGATATTTCATTATTCCTCTACTGGTGGATTCTTGGAAGAAGGAAACATAAT